TTTCATTTAATTTTATGAGAGAGTGAAACAGGATGGAAGAGAGAAAGCATGATGAATTAATATAGCTAAGCGAATTTGCGTCGCAAGAGTCTGGAAAGAAAAAAAAATGACTGTTGATCGTTACAATAACAAAAACAAAAGGAATAGGATGAAAACTTTTTGAGTCGCAACTCTGTATTTATGATTAGTTGTGTGAAAAAGTAAAAGCGATGTGCCGTCGATTCAGAATTCTCATACGATGTCACTATGATCGAAAAACAGAAATCAATAGCATCTTAATGATACCATTGTTGCTTCTGAGTACGGAAAAAGAACTATTAGTTTCCTTCTATTCACAGGTGATCTTGTTGTGTAATATGAGGTGTAGTTGTGAATGTGGATATATGCGTGAGTTTGCACTTACGTTGTTAAAATGCAGACAAAAAGAACCAATCCCACATCCACACACTATTCTACCCATCCTTGAAATCATTAGTAGCTAAGCGACTTAGAAAGATCAGAACACAACATATTGAGAACAATGTACTATAATCATCAGTTCGACAGAATATGTTATTCAATTGAAGCAAGCTTTTAGCATTAAATCAGTGCATAAATAACAATTACGTACTAAGAGGACAATGATAAGATAAAACGCGAAAAAAATTATTCATGAAATTACTGTTTATTGCAAGTTTCTGTGTGTATGGGAGGATGAAACAGAAACTGAAGTCGAAAGATCCAATTCACGAAATGATTTTGATAAGAAAAATGTGCGTTTCACAAAATGAATTTGATGATTGTACTGAATATGTTCTCAAAACATCATGTAAATGCAACGGTTTTGATTTTCTCACATCCTGAGACCTTCGAAGTTGGCATTGCTCTTCTCTATTTTCCATTGTATCAAGTCGAAATCAGATAAATCTGAATCCAGTCGAATTGAACTTGAACAGAACTGATACAGAATCGTCGAATCTGGTTCGGATCTCGAACATGTCTAACGTGAAGACGGTAATTGAGTTATTTTTTGTTGTTTTAGGTGTTTGCCATGTGAAGTCAACTGTGTTTATGGTGATTGGTTGCAAAATCAATAGAGTTTTATTTACAAAAAGCACGACCAACGGCACTGAGTGCATTTCGAAGTTAAATGTGAAGAAGAATATGAAAAGAAAACCTGCTTGGCAATTACTCGACAACAGACGAATATGAAATATATTTTCTTTTCGAGCATATACATTGTCAATCAGACGTCGGTGACGATAACCATTCTCATTATGCTGTTATATTTGTGTGTCTCGGCTTTCGCAGCATATCACAGTATTGACGACGGGAGTCTTCGTGTTCTGAAGGATATTTGTGATAAATCATACAGTTCATTTTTACTGGCAATGTATTTCTCCGACTCCAGTACCCTCGAATGAATTCATAACCAAAAACCGGTCTGGATCAAATATGATCCGTTGTATACAAAATATTTTATTGCAATTAATTAATGTATCAACAAACTCATTGATTACCATCTGAGTTCATAGGATATAGCTGTGAGTGTGAGTATCCAGGTGAAGAAAAAAATTCCAACACCCACACTCTAGTTGACAACCAACTCAAATGGTAATCAATCGATTTTCTAATTAACTATAATAAAATGTTATATATATACAATGTTTTATGTCTAATCCAAATCCGTTTATGGTTATCAATTTATTCAGTGGTATTAGGATTAGCGAAAATGGGAATCGCAGTTCAGATGGCTGAGCTATTGAAGGATAAGTTTTTAAGAGCAGAATGTTAGTGATCCCTTTACAAGTAAATATACCCATGTAGACTTATCTCAGGTCACTAAATTGTTATCTGCGACTGAATGTTGCTGTGAAGACATTTTTAAACAGATCTCAAAAAAGTAGAAATTCCATGAACAAAGGGAACAAACTACTTAGCTTCTTATCGATGTTGATTTTGACGAAATTTTCGATAAAAAAAATGATGTGGGTCATCAATTTTTTACGTTATATCTGGCCATTATCCGCTTAATTAAAAACTAACAGCTCGCTTCAATGGAATGACATGTTTTGTCAAACTGATGGCAATAGTGTGTTGTTTTCAATATGTTGCGTTCTGATCCTTTTAAGTAAATAATCTACTAACGATTTCAAGAACGTATAAAATAACCATTAACAACTTGTCTAAAGAAAACATCAGTATAGTTGTTGCTGATAATCTGCATTCTTTTAACATGAATTTCAAGTTAATAGAGATCTAATGATCAGCATTTGTTATTTTATCTTTAGAAAAAATAGATTTTCATTAATAGACTAATTGTAGTCAGCTCAAAGTGAAAACTATCAAGTTGGTGCGTCACCCAACGAAACATTGTTTTATGTATAAAAACACTCAACTGATACAGATTTTTATTTGTTGTTACCACATATTTAGAACGAAAAACTAGTGTGAAGCTATGATCGTCGAAGTCATACTGTTCATCTTTATTTTGTGCGTGGTATATGCCCAATACTGGATGTATCGAGCTCGAGATACAACAGGTAACTTTTTCACTAATAGATTTTTATTGTCATGACTTTCGTCATTTTGGGGGTATTGACTTTTTTCTATAATTACAAACCATAATTGTAACTATGTATATTTTCGTAGTACTTAGTTAATAGTTTCTACACATCGCTATATCTTGTTATTCATAGCAGTAATATACGGATCGAGCCGATACGAAACTATGCAAAAAATAAGAAAACAACGCAAAATAGTCTATTTAGGGGTATGCTGTTCTGTATCATAATATAATAAGTAGTTAGTGCTTTTAGTCCTGCTGAATCCATATGTCTAGTGTCTATTTAAGGACATAGGAACTATATGTCCAAATCACTTCTATTGATAAATAAGGTGATACAGACAGCTACCCTGTAATCATCTGTAGTGACACATTTTGGATAAGGCATCCTTCAGTACTTCTGGCACACACACATACGAAAATCATCATTGATTCTATTGAAATTTTCAGTATTTGTAGAGCTATTATTTCTAAACACTTTAATAAAAAGATGTTCAAAAAAATCTTACCTTTCTGACGGTGATAGATCTAAAATAATTTAAGCACTGAAAACCTTAAAGTTCAGAAAAGGTTTTTTTTTTTTGAACAACTTTAGCCAATTATTTTTGGTGATTTATTTCAATAAAACTAGCTCGAAAATAGAAACAAAGGCCAAAGTCAGTTTTCTCGTGCAAAGGCACATCAAATCAAATTGAATCTGGCTTCATTGTGAAACAGGTTTCAATGGCATATAGATTGAGACTATTCGTCGCGCGTACAATTTTACACATCCATATTAGGCTCGCGGTTATTTCCAAAAGTTGAATAGCTCGATATGGTAGCATAGTGTACCCGATGGAGCGTCACTTGCTCTATACTTCTACTGGTATAGAATTATCAACTTTGTTGTTTCGACTAGATTATTAAGCCTGCTTTGCTGAGTATATTGTTTCTTATATCGTTGTGAAGTTTGGTGAAATAAAAATGTGGTGGTTGAATGAAAGATTTGTTCGAATTTACACGAAATTTGATAGGTTTGTAGAGAAAGGGATGCTCTATCGATAAATAATAGTGTAGCAGACGCATAATCTTAACACATATAACATTCAAAATTTTTGAAGCAGAAGCTAAATTTAATATGGTATGATACGCTTTTTCTTAAGGAATTCGAATATTTTCTTTTTCTTTTTAATTTTCAATTTGATTCTAATGAATTAAAACGTTAAACACAATCTGTGAGAATGGATATCGGTGAATGTTTGTATGTATTTACGTGTGGGTATGGGCGTATGCATTCTCTTTACTTATATTCATCCTCGCTGTTCTTTGCTTAGAAATCTATCTTTGAAAAGAATTCTGCGTGGACCTAAAGACTATCGATTTCTGAAAATTAGCATCCAGTATTCATTTTTTACACTCTTTTCAACGACGTTGTCAAAATATATGATTTCATCCAGAGAAATGTTTGCTTCTTTTTGTGCTCGATTGCGTTGTTACTTTTTTGATTTATGGATCAGTTCAATTTGTTCTATTATTCACCATAGACAAACTAGAAATGATAGTATTATTTTAAATTCAATCAATAGCTTCTATAAATTCTATAGTGCAAGTTAATCATATACTCTTTTCTATTTTTTGAAAGATTCTTCTATATAGCTTCTATTTTCTCTTAAAATCAAAAGAATGATAGTGCCAATCATAGAAAAGATACAACTAAAGTGGGATAATTTTCAACAAAAATAGGAAAAAAAAAGGTATAATTCACCTATAGTATAGGAATCATAAAAATTATAGGTCAAACATGACCCTAGATGTTAAATTAGAAAATGGAATCTAATCTTTTATCTTGATTGTTTATTTATAGGAGGTCTGAAAATCAATAAAGACGAAAGTGCTTTCGAACGATATCATCAAGAACTATTCAAGATCGCACAAACAGATAATATTAAACGACTTAAAGATATACTTAATGAATTAGACCGGCATAAAGAGTCAACCACGAAGAAAAAAGTACTCAATATGGGTATGTCACAGGAAAATTTCAAAAGTTTTCTCTTATAATTTAAATAATCCTCATAGAAAATTTTTATATTTGGACTTCTGATTATTTTATTTCATTAATTTTATTTTTTGTCTGATAAATTTTTCACTCCATCTGCGTGTACGATTTTGACTTCTACTTCTTCATCTACACTATCGATAAAGCTTATGATAAAATAGTTCAACACAACAGACAATAAAATTTATAGAGAATACATGATCGTTTCATAATGATTATCTATCTCCAAGTATAAGAAGAAAATTATGGTTAAACTTAAATATAAATTAATTATTTGTAATTAGCAGCGAAGCTAGAACACTGGCGTCCCACTTAGTTTGGTTAAACAGTGGTAGGTAGTGTCAAACCTTGCGATACCATCTAAATAATGCGTACATATTTATTGATTGAAATAAATATATGGTATTTTCTTTGACGATGAAAATATTACTTCTTTTAGGTTATCCGACACTAGACGATTTGACAGCATTAAGTATAGCAGCTGGAAAAAAACATAAATCTATCACAGAAATATTAGCTAGTGAGTTTGTATAGCTATGTATTTTGTTATTAATATTATGTATTATTATTTATTTTGCATAGGATGTTCCGAAGTCGATGTGAATAAAGCATCGTTATCAGGTATTACACCATTATTGATGGTTGCTGAAGTGGGTTGGCCCGATATACTTGATATTCTATTACAGCGTGGTGCTAGTGTTGATCCAACACCCTCTGGTAAATTTGCTGAAGATCATAAAATAGCTGGTTCAACACCATTGATTGGTGCAACTAAATATAATCATTCGGAATGTATTAAACTTTTATTAGCACATTATGCTAATCCAAATCATCAAAATCATTTGGGTATATCAGCATTAATGCTTGCAGCTGAAAAAGGTTATTTTGAATGTGTTAAATTACTTGTACAAGCTGGAGCTGATCTAGAATTAGCACCAAGTCGTAAGAATAAGTTTTTAGAAAACTTCAACGATTGTTATTTTGTTTTAGAATATTGATAAAAAGATAAATGATTTTTATAGAATTAATTTATTTTTAGGTCCATTAGGATTAACAATAAATTTATGTGGTCGAACACCATTATTTTGTGCAGCAAAAGAAGGTCGAACAGATATAGTTAAATATTTATTAGATCGTGGAGCTAATGCATGTGTTCAAAATCATTATGGTGTTAGCGCTTTATGGATTTCATCACGGAAAGGCATGCTACAAGTTGTTGAATTATTATTAAATGCCGGTGCTGAAACACATGTTGCTCCATTTGGTAATCAAGCTGATAAATTAAATATAACTGGTTGGACACCACTTTATGCAGCAATGAAATCACGAAAATTTGACGTTGTTAAATTACTTCTTAAACATGGTGCTGATCCAAATGCAACAACAAAATTTGGTTCAACACCATTTTTACTTGCATCTGAAATAGGTGATTTAGATGTAATTGAAGCATGTGTTGAAGCTGGTGCTGATCTTAATTTTGTGCCAAGTGGTCCAGATGCTGATAATTTAGATATAACTGGTCAGACAGCGTTATTTATGGCTACATTAAAAGATCGTATTGATGTTGCAAAATTTTTAATTGGAAAAGGAGCACAAGTAAATGTACAAAATCGTTATGGCATATCACCATTACTTCTTTGTGCTGAATCAGGTAATCGAGAACTTGTTCAAACACTTATTGAAGCTGGTGCTTATGCTAATATTACACCACAAGGAGATTTAGTTGAAAAAAATTTCCTTGCTGGACAGGTAAAATCTTTTTCTAACACTAATATTTAGAAATATTTTAAATGTACAAGTTTGAAAAAGTGAATAATTCTATATGTTTCATATGGAGAACGACAATGTTGTAGAATTATATACTCAATCTGACTACAGACTTAGATTCGGCTATGAAAAGAAAAAGCAATACATTAACTTATACGTTTTCTTCCCTGATTCATTTAGAAAATACAAAAGATTAAATTCTAAATCATATATTTCTTTTCTTTTAGACGCCTCTTTTTGGTGCAGCTAAAAAGGGTCATGTAGAAATTTGTGAATATCTTATTCAAAATGGTGCTGATGTTAATGCTGTAACGATGGTATATTTATTTATTAAATTATGATTAATAGAATGAATTAATATTTATTTAGACTGGTGCCACCCCACTATATACAGCAACTGAAGAAGGTCATTTAGATGTCGTAATGTTATTATTACGTTATGGCGCTGATGTGAATCAATCACCAAAAGGACAAGTTGCACATGATCTTCAAATTGAAAATCAAACACCTTTATTAATAGCATGTATGAAAAATCATGAAGAAATCATTCGATATTTAATTGAGTCTGGTGCGCATGTAAATGAAGTATCTGAACGTGGTTCATCACCATTTCTTACTATTTGTCAGCATAATAACGTTGAATTAGCACGATTATTTATTCGACATGGTGTACGACATGATGTTGAAGGAAAAAATTTATATGGCGGAAGAATTAATGGTTTGATTATTGCTGCTGAATCAGGTTCATTTGATATTGTACGTTTATTAGTTGAAGCAGGCTTAAATGTTAATTATCAGATCGAAGGAACAGTAAGACAATGAATGAAAAAATTTTTTCATCAATATAACATTTTGTTTTTTTTTTCATCAGGGTGAAACCGCTGGTCGTACACCTTTATTTTGTGCATGTGCGAAAGGCTTTCAAGATATAGTGAAGTATTTAATTGAGCAAGGAGCTGATGTTAATGGAACAGAAAAGGTAAGTACGTAATCAACTAATGATTATGATTAATAGTTAAGCGAAAAAAACCTCTTAGTGAACATTTGAATAGTAATTTTGTTTTCGACGAATGCTTAAAATCATAATTATAAGTAATTATATAAAGCAGTATTTATGTTAAATTAGCTATTTCAGTTGAATATGACTGTTGGGTAGAAGTCGACAATTAGTATAAAGTATATAATATTAGGAAATCAAGAAACCTTCTGACACTTAGGAGGATTGTTATGTTAACATAATAGTATAGAATTGCAATATCTCAGATTTTATGGCTTTAGCTTGACTAAGAAGCTACGACAACATTGTTGTGCTCTTTTATAAAACCCCCTAAAAATAGTAACCATTAACACAAGATTTAAGTTCAATGGTGCCATTGCTAATTATTATCTCTTTTTATTTTCGACCTAGAACATGGCAACTAGAAAGGCAAAAGGATCAACAAATTATCTAATCACTGTTTCGTTGAACGCCATCGGATCATATTTTGAAAACTTTAATGAAAGAATAGGATATTACTATTATGATTGCTTCGTATTATCTAAAGAATATTATATGGAAGAACAATAAATTTTAAGTTTTTTCAGGAATGTTAGAATCACCGCTATAGTTTATATAGATGATATGAATCGATAGTTTAACGACGTATTAAGTTTTAGATCAATTATGCAAAATATTGTAAAAATCAGTAAATAGTAATCGGAAAAATGAATCTGAAAAAATCCGACTTTTTAAGAATTACAATCCAAAGCTATGCGCGAATCAGAATCGGGTTGCAGAACTCCACTCCCATTTTTGACTATACAAATATACGCATGGGTTATACAAAGTTAGATCAAAAGTTAAGGCTATTTGAATGTTAATGAAATGCCGATGATCGAAAATCCGGATATATTTCATCTATGGTTATAATCAGTGGATACATCGCCTAGTAAGAGAAGTTATTGAGGACCAGCATTTTATGAATTGGGTCTTTTGTAATTAACGTAGCTATTTCTTTAGAGTGGACTCTCATGTTTACACATTGCCGCAACTATGGATCATGCTGATACAGTTCGAATCTTATGTGAACATGGTGTAAATCTGGATCAACAATTTCATTTCGAAGGACAAGATGTAACTGCATATGATCTAGCTGAATCTCAGCAGTATAATGATGTATGTCAAGTACTCAAAAATTTTAATGCAAGACAACGACCTGAGAGTACATTATCACGTGATCTAGAAATTAATGAATAATCCTATTCTATTACTGTATACCTAAAATAACATTCCGTTGTTCGTACTATATTTATTCTGTGTTTCTCTATTTGCGATCGATAGTCGCTCTCTTTTCATTGAGTTTATTTTTCTCCTCGTTTTGTGCACTCATTCGATATGTGTTTAAGTGATCGTGGGTATGGATAATCTCTTTGCTAACACACAGACATAATCAGATCTGTGTCGATATTGATATCACCTGTTGCTGACCTTCCTTTTCTCTTTATTCTCTCTCATTTTGGCTCTCTCCTGTATAAAAGTGTGTTGTATGTGAAGTAAGAACATCCTAAATATATGAAGTAGCTAAATAAACATTATTACTAAGGGTGACACTGTGAAAAGAGAAGACAATCCATGGGACGAAGATGAATTGTCTTCTTGTGCGTTCAATATATTTGAATAGTTGTCAAATTCTATTAAATGGAATTGATAATTTTGAAACCTTCTTCAAATCAAAATAAAATGTAGAAAGTAAAGAAAAATGGAAATTTTCATAAATAGATCAATTATTTAAACAAACATAAAAACAATAAAACTAAATATTAAACTGGTGCTATCGAACGACTTTTGAAAAAATTCAAAGGAAGAAGATATGTGCATCTGTTTATTTGTAGAAGTTCCTTTTGTTTCATGGTCTATGATTTATATCATAGTTTATTCTGCAAAGATTTCAATGTTTAAAGAATAAAACGAAAAAAAAATGATTTGCCTCGATTGATTTCGAAAATGAATTTTAGAATTGATCAAATCTTCTTTGGAGTTGATCTGAGTTTTGTTAGTGGTTTACTTTTTCAAGTCGATACCTAATTTAAGAGAAATTCTTCTCCTGTAATTCAATCGTTTTTGTTTGAATAAATTTCATTTCGACAGTAAATATATCTTATGCTACTAAATGATATTAAATAGTTTTTTCTTGCAATAAAACAATCAATTTATTTGAGAAACATTAAAAAACAAATGCAAGATTTTTAACAGCTGAACTACAGTAAAAAAATCCATCGAAGAATCCATAGTGAAAGATATAGTTTAACATTGATTTGAAAAGTGACTTTGAGCGAATTTATTGATCATTTTTCAATACTTTTGTTGTTTTGACAAAATATTTACGAGTTGACAGTTTCAATCCAAGTTTTTCATGGAAATGAATAATTGATTATCACAAGATCAAATTGGTTGATTTTATTCACATATGATCTGTCTATTACAGTCTCTGGAATGAGTCACAAGATTTGTTTTTTTTTCTTTTTATAGGCGTTTGAAAATTATATATATCTGAATAGAAGCAGAAGAATGTCTTTATAAGAAAGAGAAAAAACAAAGATATTGTAAAAATTGAAATGACTTCATTAAACCATTTAACTTGTAGAATAAAGACATGAAGTTCCAGAGATCTCTTCCATATTCTTTTCGTTCAAGCGTGAGATGTGTAATAAGATGTATGTATAGGCATAATGATTTGTAGGAGCCAGAAGATTTTGTTTAACCCATTTTCATATGGAACAATTTGCATTTTCTCCATATCACGAACGATGATTTTGACAATATTGATTTCGTAAAATGAGAAGAGCAATGTACTTCTCAAGAATGCAGATTTGCACATATGAAGATTCATAGATTATAATTCAGATACGACTGATAAATAAAAACGAAATAAATCAGCAGCTAATCATTACTACACAATTCAATAGGATTTAGATCATCCCTGAATTTATTAAGCTCTCAATGAAACAGTTGATCTTGACAGGCGAAATAAATTTAAGTCTTCATTTCTGAGTCTAAAATTAGTATTCAGTGCTCCATGGAAGCTACTATGGGTTTAATCAATTATTTGACATAGTATTCGAGTTAAATCATGCTCAGATTGCAAAGACAATGATTATGTCAGAAGGAAATTTATCAAAATTTCTTAAATCAATTTAAAAACCTTTAGATATTATTTACTTACGGAAAGTGACACGACCTCATTGGTTACTCGAATCACTGTTCAATACTGATAATCCTTTGCCTGACACCAGTGTAAAGGGTGTGGGTGTGGCTGAGGTGTGGTTGTGAATGTTCTTTGCGTGGACACACACACCCACATCCACACCCACGCCCTCAATATAACATTATTCTAACACTGGAAATAAAACTATAGTATTCCTGATCAGCCTGGATTTTACGTTTGAAGTCATATCAGAACTGGATTTCAAGTTTTTTCAAACAAGTCAATTTTCTCAGTCGTTCAATTTTCTCTAATGTAGTTACGGTGTGGATGTGCGTGTACTACTTAGAAAAGTAATACGAAAGAAATTGGAAAGTTGAATATCTGCAATAAGATTTTTGAATTAAGAAATTAATACAACTACCATGCAATGAATCAATTGAGAAGTCTTTTAACCAAGTATATTTACATTATAAAGTCACTGAAATTTCGAAGAAATAATTTTCTTTAATATTCGATAGTTTTAGGAGTGCTAAAACATTTCATTTAGAATTAATACTAGAATTTAATGGGCTAAATAGTAGTGATATAAATGAAATGTTACTTAAGAAAAGAAAAAGAAAGCATGCCAATATTTTCTGAAATATGAGAAGATCAACTCATTCCGTTGAATTGAAACTCATTCAATACAAAATTGATAATAGAGCAGACGAAAGATTGGAAGATGTTATTAAAACCTAATCGAAAAGATATTTAATGACGCTGATATCTTAGGTGCGAGTACTCCCTACTCAACAATTGTCACACATACAGTATGATTAAATCTGTATCATCGAATCCTAGTTTTCTTCTTTTTCATCAATAGTTGCATATAATATTTTTCTCTTTTACATCGGTTGAAAATACGACTGCTTCTCAATCATTTTTCGGAATGGTGGTCGTGCATGTCCATTTCTCGAAATAAATATGCTTTCATAATGCGCAATTATTGATAAATGTATACTTATGAGTCGTGCAGTATATCTTGCGTGTCTATGTTGTTGTTGCTTTTAGTTCTTTTTCTTCCTCATTCTTCTCTCGTCAAAAAATACTCGCGCAATTCACCGTTATCAGGCAAAACATAATCTAGAAGAAATAGTGTGAGTCCTTGAGAAGCAATTTATTTATGCTCTCTTACAAGAATGACGTATTTCGCGTCTTATAAAAAGCTTTCAATCAACCTTCAATTGTTATTTTATTTTAAATAAATTGCAAACAATAAAATGCCCTTACTAACCTCGGTCCATGACGGGCCATTGAAAACAGATGCTCACAAGCAAACCAACGCACGTCGAAAATCTGACACAGAGGAACATGCTAGTGCTGACACGGAAGTAAAAATTACTCATCCAGGTACAACTTCATGATTAGATAGAGAATCTAGACTATAGAAGCTCCTGTCTGCACAGGTCACTTCTTGAAAAGTAATAGTGATTATATACAGATTTTTTAAATTTTCATTTCTTATATGCTTGAAAACGAAAATTAAAGAGATTCGTTCGCAGCGTACATATATTCAACGAACCGCATCGATTATTTGGATCCTTTTGGACTTATACTACACGCTTTTAGTGTATCATATTCTCACATGAGATTTACATTAGAAATCTATTAGAGATCATTTAGAAAAGCTTGTCAATGTGACTTATTGGAAACTAAAATGTGGAGCTCACATAGAGTCTTTAGTCTCGTTAAACTAATACGTAATAGGCGAATCGGAAAATGCTTCATAGACTATAGTCCCATTCGAAGATAGTCGATCAACAGAGTGAATATATGTCTTATTCTTTCATTTTTAACAGATTTTTCTCCTCTTTTTTTCTTGTACAGACGCTCTAGTTTTTATTTGACTTATTGCTTTTTGTTCGTCAGTCTTTATTTTCGTAACACTTATGGTTTTCTTTCATAAATATATGTGAGTTCCATAAACACTTTCAAATGAATATTGTTTTAATGTTGATTTTGAAATAACTCACATCTCGACAAAGTTTGAATAAGTAAAAAGGTTATTTGGAGATCGTGCTAATCTATTTTCTCTCAAGTAGCAAGCAGAATACGAATTCAATACTTTTTCATAGTTTGCAAAAATTACAAATCCTTAGTTGATAATCCAAGCATAATATATCGATTCTTCTATATAGAAACGAATGATGATAATGCACACGATCCAACTGAGTCTTCTGAGGCTACGACTAAAAAGAACATTCATTCTACTTCTAAAACGCATACCTCTACGAATCCTCACAGTAAACCACCAACGCATTACAATATGAATACACATGCCAAAGCAATTTCTCGAAGTCCGCGGCGTAAATCTGATGCTCATGAATCCCAACAGGATACCCAACGCCGAAATTTCAATACTCATAAAAATGCACAGATACATGCCAAAGCTACTTCTGGAAGTCCACGACGTAAATCTGATGCTCATGAATCCCAACAAAACAGCCAGCGCCGAAATTCCAATACTCATGAACATGCGAACACGCAGAAAAAAGCTGCTGCACACAGTCCACGTCGTAATTCCAATGCTCATGAATCAAAGAACGGCACTCATAATCATGCAAACAAGCACAGAAAAGCTGCTGCGCATAGTCCAGGACGAAAATCTGATGCTCAGAAACTCCAAACCGATCATCATGAACATTTGACTACACACGAAAAACCAATGACACAGGACAACGTAGCTACAGATAGTAATGTAGGCACACTCCATCAGTCAGATACTCACCAGCCAGAAAATAGCACATGTGATGAAGCAAAGCCCGAAATAACTGAATCCAATGAAACTGAACCGCGTAATGCTGAACACGCAGGTATGTTTATCTATATTCCCAAACGTATATTCTTGTTTTTCACTGTAAAATATTGAACATTAGTATATGCCTCATTTGCAATAGTCTCATTCTAAAGCGACAAATGAGCCTTATTATTACTTCTGTTACCTGACAATCATCAAGTTTCTTTTCTCTGGAGAACTTCACAATATTGATCAGTGTTAACATAGCAAGATTATATACAGGGCTTGTCAGAATTATAGACCC